CAATTAAGATAGTTGACAAACTCAATGAAAAATAGACCCATAGGTGCACTATCCAACAACATTGAGATAAACCCAAAAGATCGAAATTTAGAGCAATGCAAGATAGTAAAAGTCAAGACTAGAGTAAAAAAAGGAAACTGGCTACCCAAATGATAATACACCTCAAAAGCCTAACTTAGGAAAATTTTCCTCGGACATCCCGATTGACCCAACTAAAAGACTTCCACCTCTGTTCACTCAAAGATTGAAAAAACTCAATAAGGATCCTAGTAGTTTCACCATTCCCTATGTCATATGAACTGAGGGACAAGCACTTTATGACCTAGGAGCTAGTTTCAATGTCATGCCTTTGAACATCTTCAAATAACTTCGAAGAGGAGAAATTAAGCCTGCCAATTTGACACTCCAGTCAAATCAGCCCATGGCACATCCTCTAGGAATAGTTGAAAGCTTACCTATTACTGTGAACAGATTTCACCTTTCTAAACAAGAGATGCATGTGACTTTGGGGAGGGCCTTTTTAGACATTGACAGAGCCATCATTGATGTTGAGGAGGGGAAGGTAATTCTGAGAGAGAACGATCAAGCAATTGCATTTAATATTTTAAATTTTTCATACCTTTCCCAAAACCCTTAAAACGATCAACCATAGCAAACTGAAACTATGGCTAGGGTGGTTAAGATCCAATTTATTGAACCTGGAGATGTGCATTTGGAATAATAATTGATAATTGATGAAATGTTGGAAATTTTGACCGAAGATAATATTGCTCTTCCGGTAGGAGAAACCTAACCACCGGCTCAGATTTGTTAGGAGATCACCTTAGCCCACCTATTGGAACCGCTAGTGATTATCTGGTTGAAAGTGAGACGTTACTACAAAACTTTCATCAATGATTATAACAAGATCGATATTTTTGCGATGAAATTGAAAATTTAACTTTATTTAAAAACCCAGAGCAACCTGACTTTGGGACTAACGATCAAGGATAATTGAAGTGGCAATTTGATTCTGGAGACCGAATTTATATACGATGCCTGAAATTGTCTAGTTGAGCACGCAAAACCTACGTTAAACCTACTGCATTCTCAATTTTTTCAACGATACCAGGATTTTTCTTGTTCGAAGGTGTTTAGAGCTCCAAATACGTTGATTCTCAACAATATACCTTAAATCTGGGAGTGTCCTTACATGGATCATAAATATTTATGGACATGGCCTCTGTTTCTCTAAGATCTATCCCTAGCCTCACTGATGTGATTATGGAAAGAGCGCTTTGGGAGCTTCCGGGTCTAGTCAAGCAAGTTTATGGATATGAGATTTTGGCTTGATCAGTTCATCACCCAAGTTGCGAGTGGTCAGTCCGTGGTAGGTTTAGAAAATTCCTAGATTTTTCCTACACTAGGTCATAAGGAGAGGGTGGCTAGGAGAGGTTGCACCCTAATTTTTTACGTCATAGGAAGGCAACCCTCTTCCTCTCTCTTCCCCACAGAGTCGGTCTCTATTCCTCGGGCATGGTCCAAAAGATAGATTTTGATTGAATATATATATATATATATATATATAGTTTCACATACCTCAACCTATTGGTTGGCTTCCTCGGCGTAAGACCCCTCAAGTCGAGGGTTCGAATTCCCTCTGACACTGTTGACCTTAAGGAGACTGTACTCCAACTATTAGACACATTAGGAGTGGTTTGAAGCTCGTATAATAGCCTCTGGCCATTCTTTAGG